ACATACACACATACACACACATACACACACATACACACACATACACACACATACACACACATACACACACACTTACACACACACATACATACATACATACATACATACATACATACATACATACATACATACATACATACATACATACATACATACATACATACATACATACATACATACATACATACATACATACATACATACATACATACATACATACATACATACATACATACATACATACATACATACATACATACATACATACATACATACATACATACATACATACATACATACATACATACATACATACATACATACATACATACATACATACATACATACATACATACATACATACATACATACATACATACACACACACATGTACACACACACGCATACACACACATACAAACACATACTCACACGCACACACACACACACACACGCACATAAATGCGAACGCGCGCACACACACACACACACACACACACACACACACACACACACACACACACACACACACATGGCCACACGAAGGTTTACAGTCACATACATAATGTAAATGAACAATAATATAAGCAATAATATTGTTAAGCTAGATGCATACTCCGTATTCTGATTGGAGCTCAATGGTATTCTGATGCATACTCTAAAATCGTATAAATACTTATAACAAGATGGTTAAGATAGAAGAATTTTGATGAATGATAGTAAGAATGACCTTCCGTATCTTTCTTAGTTACAGATCAGAAGAGTAGGTCTTTTACTGGGGCTCTCGTGGCTACCGGGTTCGAATCCGGGTAGCACCGAAAAAAAAATTATTCTCCTTTCACCTTCTTGCCTGCTCTCTAACAATGGTCTGTCGTCTGCTTTCGTCTTCATTTTCTGCCCCCACCCCATCACCTCCTTTGCCGCCTCCTCTGAGCTCTTGACTCTTTCTGCAGCCTTTCCACTGCTACTCCTTGGCTCCTTCTTACAGCTGTCTTTTAGCCACATCCCTGATCTTATGGTAGGAAAGATCTACACCTAGCCTTCTCGGACAAGATCGAAAAATCTCGAAAGTCCCATGTGCAAGTTGCCCACGTTAAAGATCCCTTGGTGGTCTGAAATCGATAGAGTAGGCTTTGGCGCCACCAGGGCAAAATTCAAAATTTCCTACCAACTGAAAAAGTTAAATGTGCCCCGCACTCTCATATGACCTTTGCCGTTGCGAGCGTCGTAAAACATAATAATAATAATAATAATAATAATAATAATAATAATAATAATAATAATAATAATAATAATAACAATAATAACAATAATAATAACAACAACAATAATAATAATAATAATAATAATAATAATAATAATAATAATAATAATAATAATAATAATAATAATAATAATAATAATAATAATAATGATAAAAATAACAATAATAACAATAATAACAATAATAATAATAATAATAAATAAATAATAATAATAATAATAAATAAATAAACAAATAAATAAATAAATAAATGACATTTATATAGCACTCAACCCCGACCAAAGTACAAAGGCTCTGAACGCTTTACAATACAATGCAATGTACAAAAGTAACATAAAACGTTGTATTTTAATCAAAAGAAAAGCACTCCAAATATTCATCTTGTTACTTTAGAAACAGAAATGACTTCAGCTGACATTTGGAAGAATTTAAAAAATGTGATCTCTCTTAAAGTACTTGGCAAAACATTCCAGATCTTAGGGCCTTGATATTCAAATGTCCTTTCACCCTTTGTTTTAAGTTTCATAGATGGTAAAAGAAATTTCTTTGTGTCAGCTGATGACCTTAAACTGCGAGTTATAATGTACAGATTTGATAAATATGATAGCGCATTATCATTCAAGCATTTGTGACATAGGGTGGCCAACTTGTACACAATTCTTTTCTCAACAGGGAGCCAATGCAAAGTTCGTAAAAGAGGTGTAGCAGAGTCTCGCTTTCTTTTCCGTAAAACTAAACGTGCAGCATTGTTTTGGACAGTTTGAAATCTTTTAACTTTGTCCAGTGATATTCCCGATAACAAGGAGTTACAATAATCAAGTCTTGATAAAACTAAGCTCCTCTTGTATAATCGTGTTCAGTTATTCCCCACAGCAGACTTCTGACCTGTGAATTGAAACAAGCTGCCTCTAAAACGATCTACATGTAAATTATGCTGTAAAAATATTTACTCACTCAGTCAGATTTCAAGGTTTACACATAGAGGGAACTTCCCAAAAGCTTCATCAACATTAGACAAGAGTGTCTAAAAGTGTAGATTGCTCGTGTGTCTACATTTCATGTTTTGACAACGTAATTGGTTTGTTCTGTCTTAGTAAGAACAATTGTGTGAAATAATGTCGTTGGTTTCCTCGTGGACTACTAGATGAAATGTTCATGTCTTATGAAAAGCAAAACTTGAGAAACTCTGTTCTTTCAAAAACGTTCTATTCACACACCATCCAAGTGTGAGTTTATAATACGCGCCTATTTAAGACCATAACAATAACCAGAAATCAAGAAGTCTTTTCAAGCATTTCACTCTCAAGTACTAGTCCTTGAAATCCTGAAATATGCTACAGTCTGAGCTTTATATTTATTTAGGGAGTGAGATACATTTATCAGAGCTCAGTTCAAAACAGAGATATAGAAAGATGTTTCCATTCTTAACGTTTCTAAAACCGTGGTAGAGACATGAAAAAATCTAGTAAAACAGCACCATGCATTAAAACCAATATTATTATGTTCAAAAACAAAGGATCCAAATCCTAGTCTTGCATAATCTTGTACAGATATCAGTTATTCCACACACGTAATGTCTGACATACGAGTTTAAACACACTTGACCGATCTACATGTAAACTATGTTATAAAAATGTTAACCCAGTCAGTCTGACTCCAATATTTACACCAACAGGAGGAACTTTCCCTCATCAAATATGACGTGAATGTCTAAAGTGTACATTTCTCTTGTGTCTGTTTATTTTTCTCTTCGAGCTAGGCGTTAAAAACTATAATATTTTTTAAAGAACGTTAATCAAACGTGCGTATTTAAGACCATAATAAAAATCAGAAACCAAAAAATCTTTTCAAGTATTTCACTCTCAAAAACTTGTCCTTGAATTCCTGAAATATGCAACAGTCTGAGATTTATACTCTTTAAAGACGGTCAGATACATTTTTCAGAGCTCAGTTAAAAACAAAGACATCATGAGATATGTCTATTCTATTTACTGCACTTCTAAAATCTGCGTTACATTTTTGAAATCTAATAAAACAGCACCTTGCATAAAACCAATATTCTTATATTCAAACACAAAGGATCCAACTCATAGTCTTGTACAATATTGTGCAGTTATTCCACAGAGTTGACACAAGTTGCCTCTAAAACGATTTACATGAACAAAATATTATCAAAATATTTACTCTGTCAGTCTGATTTCAAGGTTTACACCACAAAGTGAAACTTTTCAAAACCCTCACCAACATAAGACTGGAGTGTCTAAAGTGTGCATTGCTATTGTGTCTGTTTGTTTTTTCTTTACGACCTTGGTATGAACGACTCTATTGATTTCTTTTTTTTTTAACGATACATTATTCTTTTGAGATCATTTATTGGAGTTTATCATATGTGAGTATTTAAGGCCAAAGCAATAGTCAGAAGTCAAAGAAGTCTTTTCAAGTATTTCACTCTCAAGTACTTGTTCTGGAACCACTGAAATATGCTACAGTCTGAGCTTTATACTCTTTTCCGGGAGTGAGATACATTTGTCAGAGGTCAGTTTAAAACAGGGGCGTAATAATTACAAATAACACAGGTCCAACTCCTCAACTGGACGTTCTTGAAATGTGTGTGTCTGGAGAGTCTTCACGGTTCTCCATCTTGTTGGAAAAGTTCACTTGAAGAAGAAGGTGTGTTTAGTCGGAGGCCCTGAATGTTTAGAAATTCACAATGTACAAGGGGGCGGAAAACTTAGACCACACCCTCTGTTCTAGTAGTAAAGTGTCACTTTTGTATCCCATTTCACCGGTCGCTGATCACCTAAACAACTGCCATGAACCTCGGTCGAGTCACTGAGCCATGTTCCTCTACCAGCCTGTATTCATGCCATGAGCTTGGCTGTATCCAAATTGGTGTCCATGAGAGAACAGAATATCTCTCCATTGGCGCCAAGTCCAGTTCCGGCGCTGTAGGTCCCAAACCAATCAGCGCTGTGTGAGCCATGTCGTTAACCCGTGTCGTCTTTGACGCTCTCTTCTTTGAGTCGGGTCAACCTCAGTCCCGGAGATAGTAGCCCATAGCTTGCATCTCTTCATCAATCTCCTGAAACTGTTCCAGAAAAAAACAACGTAAGATTAAAAAGATAGCTCTGTTATTTATCACTTTTTGCTTTGTTTTCTTTTGTTGGGGTTTCAGACAAGTGTACTTATGATGACGTGAGGGTATCGGTTCCAGTTTTTTGCCTTAGGGTAATACCAAAGATCGTGCATAACAAGACAGTTCACTCCTATATTTGAGTCAATTAAAAAAGTATACTCAAAATTCGGTTGCTCCCTCTTTGAAAAAAAAGCGGACTTTGCGATGAGAGTTGCCTTACTGGTGTGAAAAACAATAAAAGTGAAACTAACAAACTGTGCTATTTCTATTCTTCTGGAGAAACGAAACAGAGGTTCAGAACAAAGGCTGCAGCGCCATCTGAACCAATGCGCGGAGTTCCGTGGACACTTTTTTGGCTGAGTGAATTATCTTGTTATGTACAATCTTTGACAATAGTTTAAAATGTAAATAGACGTTTACGTTAGCAAAAGAAAATCTTGTATAACTTACAATTTTATGTAGATCAATAGACTGACTGGGTAGAAAAGAGAGAGGAGAGGGGGGGGGAGAAAGAAAGAAAGAGGGAGAAAGAGAGAGAGAGAGAGAGAGAGAGAGAGAGAGAGAGAGAGAGAGAGAGAGAGTGAGTGAGAGAGAGAGACACAGAGAGACAGAGAGACAGCGAGAGAGTGATTGGAAATAGAAAGGAAAAGAGACAGTAAGGCAGTAATTGAAACAGAGAAGAAGTGAAATCACACAAAAATCATCCTTACCATAGGACTAGTTCTGCTTATGTGGACCCGTGCGACGTGGTGAGATTCCTCATGTTCATACAGCAGTGGCCCCTGTACTACTTGGGAGGTGGGTGCGGCAGCTCTGGTCTCACTCTCACGGGTCTGTACTTGCTTAAAAGGCTTGACCACTGCCCCAGGACAAGCAGAACTGACAGGTGAAGTGACCTCTGACTTGATCAGCATTGAGTTGACCAACTGACCATCGGGCAGTGTCAGATCCACAACACAACACCCACCTGAAACAAAATGGCACATGTATGATAATCCCATCATTGTCTGTATACATTTAATTCATTGTTCAGAAAAAGAACAAAATGTTTGACGATAACTGAGCTGAAACGCAACATTCATACTTGTCCTCATCTTCTTCAACATATAATTCAAATCGAAAAACTATAAGTCTTTTTTTTTTATTCATTCCATGATTATCAATCTTTTACGACTAAGGGACATTTCAGTTAAAGTTGTAATTGTTCAGGACAGCTCTAATCTTTATACTCCTTTGTTTAATTCATGTATCTGGTGAGCATTTATTATTAAAGTTTTCAACATACAACAGAAAAAATCCCTTGCAGGCCTATATGAAGGAAATGTTCTAAGTGCTAGTTCAAACTTCCAACAGAGAATCAGTCTTACCTGCATGGTGAACAACTCTCGCCACAAAGGTTTGCTTTTTCCAGATCCCACGGAAAATCTTCTGTATATCTGAGAGCCACGAGCCTTGGCGGTCCTGGAGAAAGTTTAAAGATTGTTACTTCCAAATCATTACAAGTTTACATGACAAGGAGACAGTTTAAAGATTGTCACTTCCAGTCTACTACAAGTTTACTTGACAAGGAGAAAGTTTAAAGATTGTTACTTCCAAATCATTACAAGTTTACATGACAATGAGACAGTTTAAAGTGTCATTTTTAAAGACATTTAAAGAGGAAGATAGCTGCTTTTGACCTTAAACTAAAAGTCAGTTGCAAAATGAGCGAAGAGGAACACCAAAACTTACAATGTCATTTTTAAAGACATTTAAAGAGGAAGATAGCTGCTAGAGAGAGAGAGAGAGAGGGAGAGAGAGAGAGAGAGAGAGAGAGAGAGAGAGAGAGAGAGAGAGAGAGAGAGAGAGAGAGAGAGAGAGAGAGAGAGAGAGAAAGAGAGAGAGAGGGAGAGTGAGCGAGATAGAGAGAGAGAGAAAGAGAGAGAGGGAGAGAGAGAGAGAGAGAGAGAGAGAGAGAGAGAGAGAGAGAGAGAGAGAGAGAGAGAGAGAGAAGGGGTGCAAAACAGAAAAAAATATAAACAAATTAAAGAAATTAAAGGAACAAGAGAAATAGAACTGAGTCAAATTATTTTCTTAATTATATTTACCTCCGGCTTCCTGAGCTTACATGGCCAGGCCATAGGCGGTGTGTTCAGCACCAGTTCTTCCCTCGGGATTTCCCTCACGGAGTCCAGAGACACCAGCTCGCTGTTTCCGAAGTCGATAAAGTTGACTCGGACCTGCAAGGCCAGCACACGTGTGATTACAGCAACAGTCACGGAGTAGTTGAGTTTGATAACAATGTTTATTAATCAAAAGAAAAACAAGAACAATTTCAAAGTGTTATAGCACAATATCTTAAAAACAAAATCTTCCCATATCTGCGTACAACAAAGTTCTAGACTGTGGCCCACTGTGATCCTAAACACAGTATTTAGTTGAGGCACATCTTCCTACATTCACAAGACAACTCAGATACAAGATTTCTACGGCCCTGGTCTATGCGACAAGAACAAAGGTCAGCACTCACCTGATCTTCTCTTACGTCTTCCACCTTGGCTCTGTAACAGCCTTTCCCACACTGTACTGCAACCAGACACCCAGTTCTCACATCCTTCTTGTCCACAGCTGGACCGTCCTGTGTTTACAAAATGTTGGTAAAATGTGATTAACATTCACAAATTTTAAAAGACGATGCGTTTTCATCACAAACAAATAATGAAATTGTGAAAATTGTTTCTCAAATACATGTACCATTATAATCTCTCCTCGCTCTAGATTCGCATACAGCATACTTTTTCTATTTTTGCAATGCTGAGTTTCGATACAGTTTCCTAAAAGGGGGGGGGGGGGTAACGTTCTGATAGTTTGAAAGTTTAATGTGTTTGTCTTCTTCAACTTGCTTTTGTCTTATTCTTATTCTTACAGCTCACAGTAGTGTGCACGCTCTTACCACTCACAGACACCCCCCGTGCCTCACCGACCAACAACAACAACAAAATATAACTCATCAGACACACCCCCTCTGCCTCACCGACCAACAACAACAACAAAATATAACTCACCAGACAGGTCCGGTTGAGAAGATCGCCTATTTGGCGAAGATGAACAGAACCTCCGGCTCACTCCTGGAACAGACAAACGTTGTACAAGGGTTTCCTTTAATGAGTTTGTGACAAGGAGAGAGAGAGAGAGAGAGAGAGAGAGAGAGAGAGAGAGAGAGAGAGAGAGAGAGAGAGAGAGAGAGAGAGAGAGAGAGAGAGAGAGAGAGAGACACAGAGAGAGACAGAGAGAGAGAGAGAGAAAGACAGAGAGTGAGAGGGGGGGATAGAGAGGTCTAAAAAGCCAGTTTATTTTTTGATGCAAAATTGTGGTGCCAATTTCGATTCTGAAATGTCTTAAAGTGGATAATCAGCTAACTGATTGAAGGGAATGCATGATTTACTTGCAAAATAGAATTTGTTAAGACACATACGATGAAAGAAGACTTTATAAATAATGTACTAAAGTGTATTGTAGTGAGAACCGAGTCTCATCATACAGAAGACATTCAGCTGTGTAAAACATTAAAACCAAGTTCATCTACCAGACAGCGGAGTGTAAGATGTAGAAGAAAATATTGAAAATAAACTCTACACAGTCATGTGACAACACACAGTACGTACCCTATAGCAGGCAGTTTCGTCTCAGGCACTGGTACCAACGGCTCCACTGACGAGGAAGGTTCAACTGAAGAAGACAACTTCCCAGACGAGGAAGGCCCAACTGCTGAAGACGTCTCCGCTGATGAGGACGAGTCTGGAGTGTCGACCATAGACAACAACCCTGACTGAGACAACCAGGCTGGGGTGAAGTTCTCCAACGGCTGTTCCTTGACCACGTCTCCGAGAACGGACGTCTTCGTCGTTCCTCCACGACCTCTCAACAAGCCTGACCCTGCTCCGTGACTCCGGCCACGACCTCGGACAAACATCTTGGAGCTGACCGTCTTCTGGCTCACGACCAGTTTCCGGGCAGTAGAAGACTCGTCACACAACTCTTGGTACATGATGTCTCAACTCAGATGCTGGAAGGAACAATCAAAGACAACAAGGTCAATATCACGCAAGAATTAGGAAACTGGTCTTAATTTATACAAATATATTTATGTGAAGGGGCTTTTAATAGCTCATGTTAAGCGTATTGTACAGACACTTCAAGTTTTTTTTAAAGAAAAGCGTGGTGTTGTTTAAGATTTCATTAATTTGCAGGCCCCCCCAAAAAAATTTTTTTTTTTTAAATTTAAATTAAAAAATTAATAATTTAAAAAAATAAAAATAAAAAATAAATAAATATAAAACACTGGCAATGTTTTTGACACAGATATTGCAGCATATGTGAGAAACTCAACTTTTGTCTTGATTACCAGCTTTTCATACACGCAGAAATTGACAAAATTGTTTCCACTGTTGCGAGGCATAACAGCTATTGGCGTAAAGTAAAATGAGTTGTGTCTGGTTCTGAAACACTCTGTGTACTGAGTGAAAACTAAATGGTCACAATGAAGCAACAGAGGAAAATATACTACTTAGAAAATGATGCAACTTTCTTCATAACAGTTTCATCAAACAGCCAAAATGTATTTGTAGCCTAAAATCAGAGATCCTAACTGCCATTTATTGTCTTTTTACAAAATTATGTCAAGTAAATAAAATAAGTATAAAACTAGATATCTATACCTGAAAAAGTATACCTAAATACCAAAAACGAGTATCATTTTTTTTTTAATTCAGTGCCCCCGCCCCCTTCCCAAATCGGTAACGATCAACAAGTTTTCTGAGCTCGAACCAAATTCTTAGGCGACCATCGTAAAGGAAGGGACACAACCGAACGTTCTGATAGAAGATTTATACAAAGAGGCTATTTAATAGTATGTTTTCACGAGTACTTTCCCTTGTTACGCCTTCCTTCCTTTCTCTTTTTTATTATAATAATACGAGGCTGTTACTTGTGGTACGAAGAAGTTACATTGAAGTTATTATACGGATAGTTTCTATGTATTAAACATTACTCATTAACTCACATTGACCCACTTTTTAATAATATCATGAAATTTTACCTTTAAAAAAAAACAACCCAAAAAATAAACCATCCAACCAAAAACGTAAGCTTTATCGCAAAATTCAAAGTGCTAACCCAACATTTAAAATGCATGAAGAGGTTCGGGTTTTCGGCTTCAAAAGAAGAAAAAGAATAGGACTAGATCTATGGCCTTTCTCGCCAAGACAAATTCAAGATCACCAAGACAACACGAGATGTGTCTTAGGAGAGTCACACTTTGATTTGATTTCAAATCCAGCCACAGAAGTAAATAGTCTGTAGCTTTTCTAATCCAAACTACTTCACTTCGAGTTCACAAAGACAACAAGAAAGGTGTTTAAGGAGAGCCACATACTGACTGCATTTCAAAACCAGCTCCATGATAAATCGGGTGTTCAAAAGTGTTCTGATATATTATAAAAGAAAAGTAAGTAAAAAAAACAACAATACTAAGCCAGATTGACTTAACAATTGTTTTAAGATTGATAAAAAAAAAATAATGTGCAAGCCAAAAGGATATTGGTTTTGAAAACGGTCTACCGTGATGTTTCTGGAATACAGGTTTTAGGAAGCCATTGGCCATTTAAAAGAATAATGACTTGGTGTTTGTAGATTGTCCCCTTTGGGGGGGGGGAGGGCTGGCCCAGACCCTAGATTTCTTGAAAATAGTTCCGTCTGGTCACACGCTGTTGCGACTTTCTTGTAAATCATTATCTTTAACACCGAAGATTTTCTACAGATTGATAACAATGGCCGATGGGTGTTCTCAAGAGTTGAAAATAAAGCAAGGAAACAAACGAAACAGACTATAAACGTATGTTTGTGTGACCAGTAAATCTTTGTTCACCCTCAAGAGGTAATAAAAACAGAAAGAAAAAAAACAAAACAAATGGCCAGTTAAACTTGTGAAATGATAACGTGCCAATAATTTAATCCCCTCCACTCTCCCCCTACCTCCCACCACCCCACCCCAAGTTCATGACACGCCTGGTCACATGACCGAAGAGAGACCCGGGCGTGCCCGAGGCAGCAGTCACCGCTAACCAGGTGAGTGAACAAAGGACTTATATCATGGCAACATTTTCTTTATTGTGTTGGATTGCCAGATTTGTAACGGGTACACACTGGTGGACTATTGCTTAGTGTGTTAGCGTTACCCCCCCCCCTCCCCCACCCCCTCGCCCAAAAAAGAACAACAAACAACAAAGAGCTAAAAACTCGCTATGGCGTGGGGTATATCCTGGCTCTATGGTGGCTGTTATTTCTTTCTATCACAAGGAAATGGCGTCAGATTAAGTAAAACAGCTAGAGTTTTCACCATTGCAAGTACGAACTGCTTCCTAGCGAATTCAAGAATATTGACGACAGATCCCTTCCACAGTCTGTCCTATATTCTTTATTCATGAACTTCATTTTTCGGCCATTTAAGTTTGCAAGAAATGAATTGAACAATCTAGATTTAAATGAACAGCAGCGAAATATATCATTCTATAACAACCTTACAACATCATCTAAAATAAACAACGGAAAGGAGAAGACTGTAGAAAGAAGGTCTACGTTACAGAATAAAACAGAACACAATGACCGGTCTTGTTGAAACGATATAGTAACGTCATGGTGCGGCCATCATTGGCTAAGTCAACCTCGTGGTCAAAATGGAAAGTCGCCATTTTGTCATTCCTCTTCTCGTGGTCAATCATTTGGAATTAAAAGTATGTTTTAAAAGTGTCAAGACGTCATCCTTAATAAAACATATTCGTTTTTTAGAATTATTAAAAACTTGTATTACAAAACAATCATAGGGGTGTTTTCAGAAATCCCTAGAGTGGAAAACCAATTAGACCACGTGGGCAGCACCATGTCGTAAGTGGTCAAACCTAACTTAAACAATAATAATTATAAGCATAAATAAATGCATCAGATAAATAGATACATGAACAGAAAGTACTTACCAACTTGAAAGCCACAAACGCAGAAATCTTCCACAAACTTGGAAAAGAACACAATCGTCGATGATGAAAACGGAGATTACAGCTACGTGCGTCAACGTCGATGATCGATGCGATAATGAGGAAGGTACAACAAAATCTCGGGTGAATTTTTCCCGCCGGCCTCGTTTTGGGAGTGATGTTATCCTTCCGCTTAGGTAGCGTTTTCCTGAACACAAAGGACACCCTTATTGGTCAGATGTTTGGCTGATTGAGGTAGACCCGTCATTGGTCAGGTGATTTGAATACCATATATGGATTTTGATATTGCAGGCGCAGAATTGGGAAAAGGATAATAAAAATTATAAAAACAAGAATAAAAAAGATAATAACAAAAACAGAAATAAAAATAAAATATGCAATTACAACTACTATTAAAAGTAAAATTAAACTTAAACTTAAACTTAAAAATAAAATTGTAAAAACATTAATAAATTAATTTTCTAAACAATAGTGATTATAATGGTAATAACAATAATAATAATAATAATAATAATAATAATAATAATAATAATAATAATAATAATAATAATAATAATAATAATAATAATAATAATAATAAAATAGTGATAATAATAATAATAATAATAATAAAATAATGATAATGATAATGATTATACTACTACTACTACTACTACTACTACTACTACTACTACTACTACTACTA